GAACCGCTTACTCAAACAGATAACACCTCTCCCGCATTGGTTGCATCCCTCAAATTCTGAAACTTAGGTCTATACAGGTGATTGGTAAATGGGGAGATGTACTCTCCATGTGCGAGAGAGGGCATTTACAACCGCAGGTTCTTTTATACGAGAGACGGTAAACAAACAAACATTTCCATGTACGATACGACGCATCATTCGGTAGTCCCACCATTCCAGAGGGAGGACTGAATTCAGGTTCTGTATCAACCATCTGATGAATCCCTTGCACTGTGCGATCTCGTCCTACAAGCTGAGAATGGTGAAGTCTGCAAGTACAAACAACGACAACAAAAAAGCAAGTAAGTACCTCTTTTTTCTATATGTAGGAACAGAAACTCGAGAACAAGGAAGCGGGATTGTTGTGATTTATATAACATTAAGTATGTTTCCGCCACCACCGATCTCTCCGGTCTGGAAAGAAGGGTTGGTGATGGGGGTGGGTGGAGGGAGATAAAGAAAGAAGTTTTGTCTGGATAAAGTAGCAACAGTCGATTCAGTGGAAGAGTTTAATGTTTTAGGATCACTCTCTCTATCCATAGAAATCTACACACCCTTTTGTTACTTTAGGGTTTTTGTTTTTGGTTTTATCTTCGCTTGAGCTGAATAAGAAGGCAAGCCCGGAAATGTAACAGGAAAAGGGTTTTGGAAAGTGGACGAATTTGTTATCTGTACAGATCATATGATCCATATGACCTTGTGGGTAAATGTAAGAGGCTTCTCGTTTGAGCCTTGTTTTTTGGTTTTTAATTTTCCCAAGTATTTGAAGAAGAATGGGTTTTACAAATGCGGCTTAGTATTGTATAAAACAATAACAGCTAAAATCTGTAATGTATAAAAACGCAGATATAAGTTCAGTAATTTGCATGACGTCATGTGACGGTGTTGCAAAGTTGGTCCACACCAAGATACATAATTAACTTCACTGAATTATGAACCCGGAAAAATTATGTCAAATTTTAGCCAAAAGGGTACCTGATTTTCTTAATAACAGTATAATTTGGTCAAGAAACAAATGGATTGAATCTTATTGAATAACAGTAAATTGAATTCAATATAAAAATTGAATGGATATGAGTTTTGTAAAGACTGAAAAAATGGATCCTAAATTGAATAAAATATTAATCGAAAAAAATGATTTTTTTTAAAAGGGGTAATCGCAAAAAAAAACCCTTTATTTTTCTCAGGTCAACGAAAAGACGCTATACTTTTTTTATTACCAATTAAACCCTATACTTGGTGTGATTAATTTATAAAACCCCGTACTTTTTAAAAATTTAACGAAAATCCCCCGCGAATGCCTACTCAAGCAAAAATGATGATGTGACAATGACATGACATTGACACATCATCATAATTATGCCACATCATCATTTCAAACAAAATTTAAATTAAATTAATATATATATACAAATTCACACATACATATATATATATATATGCGAAAATCTGGAACGGGATCTGATATATACATTTACATATTATTTTTAATAGATATTATATATATGTTAATTATAATTATTTTTATTTTAATATGTATATTAGTAATATATGTATTTGTTGTATGTATAACTAATATATATACATATACATATTATTTATATATATATTATATGTATATATGTTAGTTATAATTATTTGTATTTTAATATATATCATGTATGTATATAAAATTAATTATAATTATTTTTATTTTAATATATATATATATACACACATTAGTTATAATATACATTTATATTTATATTGTAGTTCTGTGTATATATGTTTTATTAATTACAAATAATTTTATTTTTAATATATATATATATGTATGTGGGAATTTATATGTATATATATATTAATTTAAATAAATAATTTAATTTAAATTTTGTTTGAAATGATGATGTGGCATAATTATGATGATGTGTTCATGTCATGTCATTGCCACATCATCATTTTTGTTTGAGTTGGCATTCACGAGAGATTTTCGGTGAATTTTTAAAAAGTACGGGATTTTATCAATTAATCACACCAAGTATAGGGTTTAATTGGTAATAAAAAAAGTACAGAGTTTTTTCGTTGACCTGAGAAAAGTATAAGGTTTTTTTTGGCGATTACCCCTTTTTAAAACGAACATTTTTGTCAATAAAAAAACGAAAACAAATCAACCCGAATTCAATATAAAAATTGAGTGGTTATGATTTTTTTAAGGCAAAAATAACGGAGCCCGAATATAAGTCCGAAATGCTTAAAAAAATTATGTTTAATGTTACATTTGTATAAAAAAATGTGCCGGAATAAATAACACTATAATTAGCAATAAAACATTGTTAGTTTGAAAACATCAAAGATGAAAACAGACAAGATATCATCTAGAGAGAGAGAGTTTGTATTTCTCCCCGCCTTTTTCTGCAACTGTTTACTCAGTCGTCTCCCACTCTGAGCAAAATCCGCTCTCAATTGGTTCAAAGTTCCTCATAAAACCAACACATTCCATTCCCAACAAACCTTATACTGATGAATAATGACAGTGAAGGGAGGAGGGACGAACGGGGCATGCGCCGCGTGCAAATACCAACGAAGGAGATGCAGCAGCGAGTGCCCACTCGCCCCTTACTTCCCCTCGGAACAGCCCAAACTCTTCCACAACGTCCACCGGCTCTTCGGCGTCAGCAGCCTCGTCAAGATCCTCCAGAGGCTCCCCCCCTCCCAGAGACCCGAGGCCATGAAATCCATCATCTTCCAGTCCCTCGTCCGTGACCGCTCCCCCGTCCACGGCTGCCTCGGCCTCACCCTCCAGCTCCAGTACCTTATCTGGCTCTCCCAGCAAGAGCTCCGCCTCGTCAACGCCCGTCTCCATCTCTTCCGCCAACAGCAACAGCAGCCTCGTGATGCCCACCCCGACAACGATCATCATCATCCTTCCGAAGACAACCATGTCTCATCTCAGCAGCAGCTGGATCTTGGAATGGTGATTCCTGTCAAGAACAGTCACGCTTGTTCCTCCTCTTCTTCTTCTTCTTATTCTTCTTCTGCCTCTCCTCCTTTGCCCTTCTTCAGTCCATTGCCACCTCCCCAACAGCAGCAGCAAGTTTCTTACTTTAACAGCTGCAGCGACGTTAATGGCTACAGCTCAGCTGAGAATATACCGAATACTTATAACCCGTATGGCGGGTTCTGCCATTACAATGGCGACGATCAGAGGAATAACGTAACGACGATTCAGTCTCAGCATCTGAATCCTGAGATAGTATCTCAAGATTATGATGAGATCCATCAGTTCTTCGACATCATCGATGACAGACAATCCTTCGTCGAAGAGACAAAGGAAGCTTACGCATCCTCCAGGTACGTACATACATATACATACATACCCATCAATCATCTTTCTCACGTCTTCTATGATCGTTGAATCAAACGAAAGACCCTTTGACATGGAAAAACTTGTTTTGTTTTATTTTTTTTTTGCAGCTCCGAAGGATCGTTGAAGGGCACAACGACGCAGCCATTAGAACACGTCGGAGAGAACGAACTGAGGAGCGCGGCCACTCGCTTCAGCCTAACCAGTGTGAATTAGAACCAGACGAGCTGTTTTGGAAATTACATATACACACTCACACGAGAGAGATTGGTCGGGCTGTGTGTCGTCTCTTCTGATTTCGTTGTGTCCTTTCTTTACCTTTTGTCTCCAACGGCCTTGGAACACAGAGAGAGCTTCTGCTTTTGGAAACATTAAATTCTCCAATAAAATGCTGCCTTTAGGGCTTCTGTACATGCGCACATTCCCCGCGTTTGAACACTTACGTACGTACGTACGTGTGCATGCATGCATATATATATATGAACCCAAATGGGTTGACCCGGTGGTTGGATAGCACAATGTTGGGTAGCACAATCGTTCAAACCCCATAAAGTTAAATCTTACAAAAAAAAAAATATATGTATGTATGTTATACTTATACAAAACTTTTAAATTTTAAAAATATTTAATCAATATTTTAATTACATACAAATTTAAATTAATCTCATTTAAAAACAATCTAGAAAAACTCTTAATTTTAAAAACCCTGAAATTTAAAGCTCTAACCATTCACATCTAACTAAAACTTTCAATGAAAAAAAATATAACTTCAATTTTAAATTTAATTTAAATATACTTAAAGTGTTTACTTAATTATCATTATACATATATTACCTGTAACATTAGAATATCTTAAATAATAAATATATATATTATTTTCATAAAGATTTGGATTTTGTGTATAATTGAGATTTTAATTAAATAATTTTAAATGTGGAATCGTTTTTAAAATGTTAATATATATATATATATATATATAAGTATAATTAATGTGGGCAGTGGCCGCCGACGAGAGGAGTAACTGCGTGCAGATCCACATGGATCCAACTATCTTCAAAAAAAAAATTGTGAAGTTTTTTTCTCAACTAACTAATAAATGAAAACTCACTAAAGCAGATTTAAAAACCCGCATTCTTTAAATTAAAATGTATTTTTCTTTTTATTGCAGATTATTTTATAATGTTTATATGTTTATATTACGTGATGAGGAGACAGCGTAGAGACAGATGAGGAGGAGCCCTATCATCTAGGGGGTGTTTCGGAAAACGGTTCGGGATCGGTTTGGTTTTTTCGGTTTTATAAAAATAGGTACCAATCGGTTTTTATATTGTGTTCGGTTCGGTTCGGTTTCGGTATCGGTTCGGTTCGATTCCGGATTTTATTAAAAAAAAGATATATTTCTTTTAAAAATATTCGGTTTTTTGGGATTTTTTAAAGTTCGGTTCCGAAAAAATTCAGTTCTCTAAAAATAATACCGTTTGGGAATTGAGAACAGTTTCGGGTCGGAAAAAATACCTTTTTTCGATTCGGTTCGGTCCGGTTTCGAATAATCGAAGCGAAACGCCCACCCCTATTATCATCTGGTCGGAAAAAAAAAGCATTTTTGTTTCGATCAACACTTCATCTAAGAGTTTCAAACACTCAAAATTCGAGTAGCTTATAAGTTGACAGCTCGTATTTCATAACTATTTGAATAAAATATTATTCGAGACAATAATCATCCAAAAATTTACAATTATACCATATATATATATATAAAAAGATAAAAAAAAAGGTCCTTATAGTTGAAGAACCGAAATTGTCAAAAGCAAGAAAGAGAAAGGAGAAAGTGGTGTGTTCATATGAATACATATGGAGACCCTACAACTTCTGACTATAAAATTTGCATATAAATAATAAATGCTCTTTGAATTTTTCCTTCTTTCTCTTTTAATTTCAACCACTATGTGACACAAATTTATTCCAATATACGAGCACCTTAATTCAAAATTTTTTTTATAAGGTCTTATATTATTTCTCGGACTATTATGGATAGTTATGATAAGTTCCTAAGTCGCACAATGAATTACCATATCCACAACAAATCTCCACTTGTACATCTTCAAACTTCCTATATGGAGATTAAAATTGTATGTAATATGAAAAAATAAACATGTATATATATATATAATATGGACAATCAAGGGGAATGCGGTACAACCTAAAGGATAGTGGAAATGCATGTAATTAATATAATATGGACAATAAAGTTTAGAAAAACAGGCCATTATGTATAGATATAATTAATTTTGTAATGGTCCAAGAAGGATTGTTGAGGGTAATTTATAATTATTATATTACAAGGGGAAAGTGGTAAAGAAATTCAAAACCTTAACCGGTCTCACAAGAAAAAGATTACCCTTAAAAAAAAAATACACAAACAATATACATATAGTTGTTTGGTAATCTAAACAAAGATGAAGTTCTAAAATTTTCTTTACTAATTAAATTTAAAATTTAAAATATTCCTTTCCCATCTTGAAAAACCCATTCACAATAACTATAAAACAAACTAAAATATATCATGAGGTAATATGTGAAAAAAAGTTTTATACTTTATAATCTTTCTTTATTAATTAGTGGATGATATAATGGAAAATGACCAAAAGAAGCGATACTTTTTTTTTATTTCCTGTGGGAACTCATAAAAACAATCTGAATTTTATTTGACCAAAGGCAAAAATTTCTAAAATAACTAATTTTAAAGCCATTTTTATATAACCAACAATCGTATTTACTGTTTACTAATTCGAGTGTATAAATAAATTGAAAATATATTTTAAAAAAAATCAATTCCAAATGTTTAAAACGAAAGTTTAACAGGATGATTAAAAAAATTGTTTTACCTTAAAAAAGTTTACTAAATTTTAATAATTTATATAATAAACCAATACTTGTGGTGATTATCACAAATTATTGTGGTATTTCTACGTAAAGAAGAGGTTATACATGTCAGGTTGTCAGGGGAGCTCAAACCTCCGACACACCACCATGGACTTCTAGAACATGTTAGACTAATTATCCAATCGAAATTAACGTTACCCCTCTGCCTCTGACCTTATCCTTCTTGTTGGGTCGGATTTGGCAAGATTCATGTCTACTCAGATACTCTGTTCCTATATATATGTATATATATGTGTATAGACAGCCAGAGAGAGAGAGTTGGGCTCTTCCATGTCCACAGCACGATGACGGCGACGAATCATTGTTTCTTCAATCTGTGTTTCTTCTTTCTTCTGCTTCTGCTTCTGCTTCCGCTTCCTGCAAGTTTTCATCCCTTGTGTACTGATTCAAGTTAGTTTTAGTTTCAGGATTCTCCCTCTCTCTCTCTCTGTCTCTCTCTCTCTCGGTTCTGTGTTAGAATTCTCTGATGATTTCAAACCGGCAAGGCTAACTCTCTTTGTTTGCGTTGAACCATTTGACAGGAGCTCCTGTTTACGTCAACGAGACGCTTCAGTTCTGCGGGTACAGAGGAAGAGCATGCTGCGACTCCAGAGAGGATCTTCAGCTTCAGAGACGGTTCGAATCCATGAACGTCTCCGACCCTAATTGCGCTCCTCTCCTCAAATCCATTCTCTGTGCTGTAAGTTATCTTCTCCATTTTCACTTGACCACAAACAACATGTCTCTGCGGTCCTTCAGTTCATCTGGGTTTTGTCCGAACCTACCGGAAAAATCAGATTTTTCCAGTCTCTTAGGCTCGATCTTTTGTGGGTTCATCTGCAGAAATGTGATCAATTCTCTGGGGAGTTGTTCTCTGGCAGCTTCTTTACCCGACCGGTTCCTCTTCTCTGCGACTCAACCTCTGAAGACATGTGTTCCAGAGTATGGGAGACATGTGAGAATGTCTCCATTGTCGGCTCTCCCTTCGCTCCCTCCTTACAAGGCGGAGCCACGCCACCGGTTTCCTCCAACGTATCCAACCTATCCGATCTCTGGAAGTCGAAAACCGACTTCTGTAACGCCTTTGGTGGACCGTCCGGCAACAAATCCATATGTTTCAGTGGTGAACCGACCACGATGAACGGCACCGACGTCGAGCCTCTACCTCCGCCCAAGGGCATATGCCTCGAGAAGATAGGGAACGGTTCTTACCTCAACATGGAGGCTCACCCCGACGGCTCGAACCGGGCCTTCTTCTCGAACCAACCGGGCAAGATTTGGCTGGCGACAATACCAGATCAAGATTCTGGTGAACCGATGGGCATACAAGAATCAAACCCTTTTGTGGATTTGACAGATCAAGTCAATTTCGACACACAGTTTGGGATGATGGGCATGGCGTTTCATCCCGAGTTCTCACGCAATGGTCGGTTTTTCGCTTCTTTCAACTGCGACAAGGTTAAGTCCCCTGGATGCTCGGGCCGATGCGCTTGTAACTCAGACGTTAACTGTGATCCGTCTAAGCTTCCAAAGGACGATGGTTCACAGCCATGTCGCTACCAAGCTGTCGTTGCTGAATATACTGTGAATGGGTCATCTTCAAGCCCTTCCACTGTAAGCAACTCATCACTGATCGTTGAGTTTTTGGACAGAACCTGACAAAATGGTTCTTATACTATTTTCTTTGCAGGCAAAGACTGGGAAAGCATCGGAAGTGAGGAGGATCTTTACGATAGGGTTACCGTTCACATCAGATCACGGCGGTCAGATTCTTTTCGGGCCAGACGGGTATCTGTATTTCATGACGGGAGACGGCGGTGGCAGCACTGATCCTTACAACTTCGCACAGAGCAAGAAATCTTTGCTCGGCAAAGTCTTGAGGGTTGATATCGACACCATTCCCAGTTAACTTACTTGCCCTTTCGCCCCTTTGATTCAGACTGTATCCATTCCGATAATATCTTTCCTGACACAGTTTATGTATCTCGAAGGCGAATCAGAAATCTCGAAACTTGGCTTATGGGGAAACTACTCGATCCCGAAGGACAACCCTTTTCAAGAAGACGAAGACTTCCAGTCTGAGATATGGGCGCTCGGGCTGAGAAACCCGTGGCGCTGCAGCTTCGACGCTGAAAGGCCGTCCTATTTCATGTGCGCGGATGTCGGGAAGGTTCGTAGAAACTTTAAACCTTCCAAGACATTACCGTTATTCGCGAGAATACTCGGATTACGTAATGTGAAAACGTAACAGGATACTTACGAAGAAGTGGACATCATCACCAAAGGCGGAAACTACGGGTGGCGTGTATACGAAGGTCCTTACCTTTTCTCGGCTCTATCTCCGTATGGCAAGAACGTATCCGAGGACTCGAGCCTTATATTCCCGGTCTTAGGCTACAATCACTCCGACGTTAACAAGAACGAAGGCTCGGCTTCCATCATCGGAGGCTACTTCTATCGTTCTACCACCGACCCTTGCTCATACGGCTCGTAAGCGAAAAACTCATCCCTTTCTTCTAACGATTCCCATAACGTTTTCAGTAAAACATTGTCAAATCCGCTGTTTCGGACAGATACCTGTACGCAGATCTATACGCAGGCGCGATGTGGGCGGGCATCGAGACACCAGAAGGCAGTGGAAACTTCACGGCCTCGGACATACCGTTCAGATGCAGCGACGATTCGCCGATAAAGTGCACGACCGCGCCAGGAAGCTCGTCTCCTGCTCTTGGTTACATCTACTCGTTAGGACAAGACAACCTTAAGGACATATATCTTCTGACGAGTTCCGGTGTTTACAGAGTTGTTCGTCCGAGTCGTTGCGGGTTCGCCTGCTCGAAGGAAAATGTCACTGCTTCTACCGGAAAACAGAGCCCTTCTCCTTCCCCTTCGTCGCCTTCTGGTGCGAGCAGGCTCCTCTTTTCTGATCTGGATCTGTCTCTGGTGTTGGTTTGTTCACTGGTTTTCGTATCTTTAGGGTTGTTTTAAGGTATGGATTATGAATTGAAATTAGAATGGGTGTAGGGTTTTGGGTTTAGAAGAGAGACAAAGACGAAGATCATTTGTAGAGTATTATGTGTTCGAATCAAAATGTGTGTACTGAGACCAGAAAAATAAAGGAAAATCGTTTTAAAAAAATGTTGTTTTTGTTTGAAATCTGGGCTTTCTGTTGGCGTATTCTTGCAAAGATTGAACCTTTCTTGAATACATTGCAGAAAATGAAGAGTTCGGTCCATTTTTCAATGATAGTTTCTGATAAAATTGTCATAAAAGATGTGATTAACTCAAGATCGGTGGATGTTCATGCAAGAGAGTGTGTTATCTTCTTGTCGTTGTGGATCACGACTCCATTCGTTCCGCAATCTCGGCCACTTGTCTCCTCCGTGACTCCGTTTCTTCAAGTGGAGATTCCATGGCGGCTTTGTCCGTACACTCTGTTTGTTCGTGCAGAGTCTTGATCTCGTCGCGTTTCACCGCCCCCCCCCGCCACTCGGCTACCCGCCTAGAATGGTCTTCGTTAATGACAGCCGTTGAGGTGAATCTCCGACCAAACATCAAGTAAGATTCAGTTGCGTGCCATTGCATGAAGGGCTTGGACAAACGCCGACATGTCCCTGTTCTTGTCTCGTCTGAATTCTTTTTAAGAAATCTACACTTCGGCGCTCAATCTGTTTGGAAATCGGTGTGTTTTCAGACACCAAAACGAGACGAATCATGGGTCCATCTCCATCTTCTCTGAGGCCAAACACAGAAGCAGCCATGGAAGAAGCTTCCCTTCCCAAGAGTCACCATAGAGAATCCAACTGCGAATCCATTGATGATCTAATTCAAAACTATACAACAAGGCGCAGATGCTGATATAATGCTATAAACCCTACAAAACCGCTCT